AGCCTCTTCTCATAGGATAAGAACACGCGGTCTCATGAATAATTTAATAGACACCGACACGTCATCGATGTACTATTAGTCCATTGCCACGTCACAAATTGTGACGTCAACACAATGTAGATTTTAAACCCGGAAGATGAAAATGGCGTAAAAAAGCTTAAAATTAACCAGTTTTCTCCAACAGTTAAAATTATCGGATGCTAACAATGTCTATGATGTGCGACACAAACGCCTCTGCTAAAATCTCAGAAAAAGTAGTCTGGGGTTTCATGGCCTTTTAAAGAGCGTGATGGATTATAGGGCATAAGAAGATCAGTTAAATATACAGGAGCTAAACCATTTAGTGCCTTATAGGTCAGTAGCAATACTTTGAAATCAATACAGAAGTTAATAGGTAACTAGTGTAGAGATGATCAAATTGGGGTAATATGACCATATTTTCTTGACCTGGTAAGAACTCTAGCAGCTGCGTTTTGGTCTAACTGCAGCTTTGTTTATTGATGATGCAGGGCAACCAGCTAGTAGTGCATTACAGTAATCTAGTCGAGAAGTCATGAAAGCATGAACTAGCTTTTCTGCGTCAGAAACGGATAACATGTTCCATAGCTTAGCAATGTTTCTGAGGTGGAAGAAGGCTGTTTTTGTAACATGAAATATGATTTTCGAAAGATAAGTTGCTGTCTAATATAACACCCAGGTCTTTAACTGCAGATGATGACATACAGTAACAGTACACCCTTCTAGTTGCAAATTGTATTCTAAGAGATTCTGTGTGCAGGATTGTGGTCCAATAAGTTATACCTCAGTCTTGTCTGAATTTAATAGAAGAAAATTACTGGTCATCCGTTGTTTTATATCTTTAACACAATTTGCCAACTTGGATAGTTAAGAAATTTCATCTGGTCGTGATGAAATATATCTCTGAGTATCATCAGCATAGCAGTGGAAACTAATTCCATGTTTTCTAATAATGTTGCCAAGTGGCAGCATGTGTATTGAAAATAACAGAGGGCCTAACACGGATCCTTGCGGCACCCCATAATTTACTGAAGTAGACAAAATTGTAACGTCCTGCTAAGTACGATCTAAACCACCGTAATGCCTGTCCCTGAATACCAGTGTCATTTTGTAGTCAGCTTAAGAGTATCATGGTCTATAGTGTCAAACGCAGCACTAAGATCAAGTAAAACTAGTATTGAGACACATCCTTGGTCAGAAGCCAGAAGTAAGTAATTTGTTATTTTAACGAGCACAGTTTCTGTGCTATGATGAGGCCGTGGTATTTTTTGACAATATTCACTCATCGTGACAGTAAAATAGGGCATTCTAAGTCAATATACTGCAGTATTTCCTCTCAGTCAGTAGAAAATATGGTTAACACCCGGTCATGCATGAAAAAAAAAAATACACCGTCATGTACCGTGAAACCGGTATAATTTTGAAAAATACCGTGATATAAATTTGTGGTCATACCGCCCAGCACTACGAACTCTAACAAAGCAAAAACAAACACTCTTCTTCAATCCATGAACGTTTCTCTCAGTTATTGTGTGCGATGTCATCTCACAGTCTGAAGCGTCTGTCATAGCAAATCAGCACATGCTGTTGTGAATAATTGAGCGAAGCCTCTTCTCATAGGATAAGAACACGCAGTCTCATGAATAATTTAATAGACACCGACACGTCATCGATGTACTATTAGTCCATTGCCACGTCACAAATTGTGACGTCAACACAATGTAGATTTTAAACCCGGAAGATGAAAATGGCGTAAAAAAGCTTAAAATTAACCAGTTTTCTCCAACAGTTAAAATTATCGGATGCTAACAATGTCTATGATGTGCGACACAAACGCCTCTGCTAAAATCTCAGAAAAAGTAGTCTGGGGTTTCATGGCCTTTTAAAGAGCGTGATGGATTATAGGGCATAAGAAGATCAGTTAAATATACAGGAGCTAAACCATTTAGTGCCTTATAGGTCAGTAGCAATACTTTGAAATCAATACAGAAGTTAATAGGTAACTAGTGTAGAGATGATCAAATTGGGGTAATATGACCATATTTTCTTGACCTGGTAAGAACTCTAGCAGCTGCGTTTTGGTCTAACTGCAGCTTTGTTTATTGATGATGCAGGGCAACCAGCTAGTAGTGCATTACAGTAATCTAGTCGAGAAGTCATGAAAGCATGAACTAGCTTTTCTGCGTCAGAAACGGATAACATGTTCCATAGCTTAGCAATGTTTCTGAGGTGGAAGAAGGCTGTTTTTGTAACATGAAATATGATTTTCGAAAGATAAGTTGTGTGGTCATACCGCCCAGCACTACGAACTCTAACAAAGCAAAAACAAACACTCTTCTTCAATCCATGAACGTTTCTCTCAGTTATTGTGTGCGATGTCATCTCACAGTCTGAAGCGTCTGTCATAGCAAATCAGCACATGCTGTTGTGAATAATTGAGCGAAGCCTCTTCTCATAGGATAAGAACACGCAGTCTCATGAATAATTTAATAGACACCGACACGTCATCGATGTACTATTAGTCCATTGCCACGTCACAAATTGTGACGTCAACACAATGTAGATTTTAAACCCGGAAGATGAAAATGGCGTAAAAAAGCTTAAAATTAACCAGTTTTCTCCAACAGTTAAAATTATCGGATGCTAACAATGTCTATGATGTGCGACACAAACGCCTCTGCTAAAATCTCAGAAAAAGTAGTCTGGGGTTTCATGGCCTTTTAAAGAGCGTGATGGATTATAGGGCATAAGAAGATCAGTTAAATATACAGGAGCTAAACCATTTAGTGCCTTATAGGTCAGTAGCAATACTTTGAAATCAATACAGAAGTTAATAGGTAACTAGTGTAGAGATGATCAAATTGGGGTAATATGACCATATTTTCTTGACCTGGTAAGAACTCTAGCAGCTGCGTTTTGGTCTAACTGCAGCTTTGTTTATTGATGATGCAGGGCAACCAGCTAGTAGTGCATTACAGTAATCTAGTCGAGAAGTCATGAAAGCATGAACTAGCTTTTCTGCGTCAGAAACGGATAACATGTTCCATAGCTTAGCAATGTTTCTGAGGTGGAAGAAGGCTGTTTTTGTAACATGAAATATGATTTTCGAAAGATAAGTTGCTGTCTAATATAACACCCAGGTCTTTAACTGCAGATGATGACATACAGTAACAGTACACCCTTCTAGTTGCAAATTGTATTCTAAGAGATTCTGTGTGCAGGATTGTGGTCCAATAAGTTATACCTCAGTCTTGTCTGAATTTAATAGAAGAAAATTACTGGTCATCCGTTGTTTTATATCTTTAACACAATTTGCCAACTTGGATAGTTAAGAAATTTCATCTGGTCGTGATGAAATATATCTCTGAGTATCATCAGCATAGCAGTGGAAACTAATTCCATGTTTTCTAATAATGTTGCCAAGTGGCAGCATGTGTATTGAAAATAACAGAGGGCCTAACACGGATCCTTGCGGCACCCCATAATTTACTGAAGTAGACAAAATTGTAACGTCCTGCTAAGTACGATCTAAACCACCGTAATGCCTGTCCCTGAATACCAGTGTAATTTTGTAGTCAGCTTAAGAGTATCATGGTCTATAGTGTCAAACGCAGCACTAAGATCAAGTAAAACTAGTATTGAGACACATCCTTGGTCAGAAGCCAGAAGTAAGTAATTTGTTATTTTAACGAGCACAGTTTCTGTGCTATGATGAGGCCTGAATCCAGACTGAAATTCTTCATAGAGATAATTTTTTTTTGCAGGATGGAGCACAATTGAGCAGACACAACTTTTTCTAATATTTTAGACATAAACGAAAGATTTGAAATGGGTCTGTAAGTTGCGGTTTCTTAATGAGAGGCTTAATAATGGAACATGAGTTAGAGATCGTCAAGTTTATTGTAAATAATTGCACAACTGTTGAACTGCTGTGTTGAAGGCAAGAGTAAATCAACTGCATCACTCACTTTACTTTAATTAGTGCTGATGACCATTAGCAAGAGCAAAACCAGCCTTGTGCCTTTAGATGAACTGAACAACCACAAGGTCCCGCTCGCTCTGAAACAAGATTTAGGGTATCGTAGACACTCGCACACTGGCATCATCCGGATGAAGCACTGCATTGTGTGAATGTACGCTGTGGTACAGTTGTGGCATTGTGTGCTGATAGCATTTCCTGACATGTGTTTCCCATTTGTGTCTGTTAAAGCGCATGCTAGACGTGCAGCAGAAGGTTTGGTGCGACTCATAAGAAGCATCACTCTGCAGCTGACTGTCCAGTGACCTGAAGCGCACGCTCGCGTCACATGACCGCTGCGTTCCACATCACATTCATTCACTTAAACCCTCTGCAGTTGCAGTTTAAAATACATGCACCGTTCAGACAAAGCATATTCTATGTTCTAGAATTTAGTGTGTGTATATATATATATATACAGTGGGTACGGAAAGTATTCAGACCTCCTTAAATTTTTCACTCTTTGTTATATTGCAGCCATTTGCTAAAATCATTTAAGTTAAATTTTTTTCCTCATTAATGTACACACAGCACCCCATATTGACAGAAAAACACAGAATTGTTGACATTTTTGCAGATTTATTAAAAAAGAAAAACTGAAATATCACATGGTCCTAAGTATTCAGACCCTTTGCTCAGTATTTAGTAGAAGCACCCTTTTGATCTAATACAGCCATGCGTCTTTTTGGGAAAGATGCAACAAGTTTTTCACACCTGGATTTGGGGATCCTCTGCCATTCCTCCTTGCAGATCATCTCCAGTTCTGTCAGGTTGGATGGTAAAGGTTCACAGTCGTTCATCTCTCATGTTCCCGTTCCCTCGCAGAAGGAGGTTTGTTTCAGTTCAGTCCATTTTAAACCACAAAAAAAAAAAAAAAGTTTCATTTTGATTAAAGCAGCCTAAAGTGAAGGAATCATCATCCAGAAATGAAAGTACCGTAATTTACTCGCCCTCATGTCCTTCCAAACCCACATGACTTCCATGAAACACAAAAGGGGAATCTGTGAAGCTCAGCAATATGGGGTGCTGTGTGTACATTAATGAGGGAAAAAATGAACTTAAATGATTTTAGCAAATGGCTGCAATATAACAAAGAGTGAAAAATTTAAGGGGGTCTGAATACTTTCCGTACCCACTGTATATGTTAGGAGTGTATGTATGGTGTATATTTTCTACAATTGTAAAAATTACAGTGGGGAGAGATTCTGCCCTCATACTGTAAATGCATTTGAAAAGTACTAACACACCGAAAATATTCACATGTTACATTAAGGAACAAACCATTCTCTGATGAGAGACCGTCTGGTTCATGTGACCAGCCAAACCGAAGTTACTCAAATAAACCACAGTCACATTTACACAATCTGCTAAATCTAATATTCTTGTTCAGCCAAAGTGACCTTTTTCTGCTGTGCAAACGACGTAATACAGACTGTGTCTTTTTTTTAGTTTTTATATATAATCAAAACATATGCAACAACATTATATTAAAATGAATGCTGGGGCAACGATTAATCGCATCCAAAATAAAAGTTTTTGTTTACGTAGTATGTGTGCATGTACTGTGTATATTTATTATGTATATATAAAGACACGCGTACAGTATATATTTAGAAAATATTTAAATGTATTCATATTATATATTTAATATATAACCTATATTTTTCTTAAATATATACATGCATATGTATTTATATATATACATATACGTAATAAATATACACAGTACACACACATACATACTACGTAAACAAAAACTTTTATTTTGGATGCGATTAATCGTTGCCCCAGCACTAATTAAAATGTACCAAAGAAAATCAATTTAAAATAAAAAAATGATCAAATTCACTTTTTTTTAATTTTTATTTAAGTGCAAAAAAAAAAGAAATGCAATTAAGATACGCTTTCTGACATCTCTGATCTATTTTATTTGATTGATTGATTGATGCACTCAGTAAGCTTGGCTCTTCTCTGTGGTTTAGGACTTCATAAGAGACACCTTTTTCTCTTCATCTTTAGGCTACATAAAGTTATAATAACTCCGCAGTAGCAGTCTCTAATAGGTGCTGATAGTTTCTGTGCGTAACACAATTAGCAAATAAATAAACATAAATACAGAACGCACATTTAAAGTAACCGCGAGGAAACATTTCTTCACGTTATGATTCCTCATGTCTTTTTTACTGGCAAACCCGTTCATTATTCAGTAAATCGCGGTTCCCGGCGGTGACGTCACTAGTAGCCCACTTCCTCATGGCCGCGGGTAGTGGGCTTCGTTTCGATTCGCACACCCTCCCCCGGTCCTTCATGACAACATTCAGCTTTGTGGGTCCTTTTATTGCTCTTCGTCGCGTGCATGTTGCTGTAGGACGGCTAGCGTCTCGAAGTGAATACCAGTGCTGTCTGCTCTCTAGTGGAGGTGGCGGGTCCGTCTGGCGGGGGGTGTCTCATTCCTCCAGCAGCGGCGCGGACGCTGTGGGTTTCCTGACTGCACTCGGACCGCCTCCTCTCTGTCGTCACGCCGCGCCGCTACAAAAGCCTCATGGAGACACTGGGAGCAGTCGCGTCGAAATGAAGCTCTTGGTCAGCGCGCTGCTGAGGTCGGCGAGCGTCGCGGCGCTGGGGCGATGCGGACTGTGCAGTAAGGTATGGGACGTGTTTACATTCCTGCATCAGCATCATGTGATGTTTGCTCAGCCGCTGGATCCATTGTTAGAGCGCGTTTAACTCAGAAATGCGTGTTCATTCCTCGTCTGTAGTCGTTTTCATTTCCCAATTGTTATTCCAAACAGGACCTCGCTTGAGAATGAACTCTTTTCTTGCACCCCCCCTCCCTGTACTGCTGAATGTGAATATTAGATTGCTCAGCCCTGCATGAAGCGGCTGTAGTTCCTCTAATGTGCAGCTCTCGGCGTTATGGCACACAGTGTACAGCTGTGCAGGTATTGATCCTGTCTGCAGGGCTTTAGATTCACAATCAGTATCCTGACATCTGCCGATATCACCAGCGTGTTAAATGCGTGAAATGATATTTTGATCCTGTCCTTTGTTTATGTCATTACACTGTAGCTACAAGGTTAGTACACTTTATGTTGTCGCTCTGAGCAAAAGCAGTATCATGTATATACTTGCATAGATATATTAATCTGTCAATATAGTTTTTTGTTATAATACAGATTTATATTACAGATTGTATTCTGACTGGTTCACATGTCTGATAGCTAAAATACAAAACATAATATTCATTTTTGATATTTTATTAATGTGCAAGCAGCAATGATGGGCCCAAGCCATTGGCGCAACCGCTACCCCGGTGGCACAGCAGGCATGCATTTACTGAAACCCGCTGGCAGTCTGGTTTTAAGTGTCACGGCTATGAAAGGGATGCACACACACACACACACACACACACACACAGAGAACAATATATAAAACTTGCTGTAAAAAATATATTGTTCATGTTAGGTAATGCATTAACTAATGTTAACAAATTAGACCTTATTGTTTTCAAAACTTAATTATCTGTAATTATTATGAAATAATTATATAAAACTATATTACCAATATAGTGCATCTTAACTTATTTTATGTATTTGTTTGCCATTTAATTGAACTGAGCAGTAAGCGATGCTTAAATGCTTAAAATATTTCATATCTGAGTGAGAGAGGGTAGGATATATAAAACTTTTAATGATCTATAAGATTTTTTAAAAATGATTTTAATGCTCTGTAAGATATAAGAAAATTACTGTTATATTTTTTACTGTTATTTAATACATCGCTGTGGAAACACCATTCAAGAAATCCAAAATTTGTTTGCAATTTGTTTTGCAATTTCAGAATCTTGGCATCATGTTGACAAAGTTTGGTGTGAATTGCTTGATTCTCTTAGGAGGAGTATGCATTAATTCACAGCCTGATTTGTCCAAAAATCCACATTCAGACCAAAATAGCCGACTTCCTGTTGGTCGTAGCTAATGACTGTAAATTAGAGAGTTGTCTGGCTTGATGAGAACAATATATGTCCCGAGTTTGGTGTCTGTAGGAAAAACTACCCCCCCCACACACACACTTTTGTCAAAAGGTGGCGCTATAGAGCGCCTGCTCCACACCCATTTATGAGCTTTTGCCAGTGTCTGTCTATCATTAATACTGATGTGTGTGGAGTTTCATGACATTCTAAACATGTTAAGTGCCTTAAAAACACCTGAAAACAATATTCAAGTTTGACCCGTTGCCATGGCAACAGTATTTAAGATATCAAGAATCCCTTTGCAGTTTTACATCTGCCGTGTTTTGACATTATTCTGATGAAGTTTAAGAAAACAGAGTAAAAATAAGAGGCTAATTTCAAAGCATTTAGAAAATGACACACTTCCTGCTGCCAGTTGGTGGCGCTATAACTTTGACTCCTAATCGTCACAGTAGTCATCTATGTAATCGGCCTCATACAACGAACAAACCGCTTAAGTTTGACAAAGTGTGCAAAAGTTATTAGACACTTCCTGTTTCTCATTTCTCGCCATAATTTCGTCACCTTGCCAAACTGTTTGAGATATCAAAAATCCCTTTGCAATTTAGCATCCCCAAAGGGTGTGCAAAGTTTCAAGAGTTTGAGCATGTTTGGGCCCTCAAAAATGAGATTCATTTTGGAGAAGAAGAAGAAACAGAGCAATTCCAAGAGGGTCCTCGCAGCATTGGTGCTCGGGCCCTAATAATCCTAAAGAAAATAATAGGGCCCTTCTCCCCCTAGGGGCTTGGGCCCTAATTAGTTAGTTTGCCTGTGAATATCATTGTTGGGTTCTTTTCTTAGAGACCCATCAACATTTAACATTTGACTAATCAAGTTGAAAAGTGTCAAAACGATTATTGGTGTATCTTTGCTCTGTACAGTGAAATCCTTTAGATTTGTGACTGACTGATACAGATTTTTTAATCCATGAGCTCGGCGTGCCATATGCAATATTATGTAGACTATATGATACAATCTAATAATAGTAAATGTACTCAAAATTACTGAAATTGAGCAAATATATATTTTACACAGTGTTCAATCATAATTGACTCGGGGTTATTATAGTTAACTAAAATAGAAAAAGAAAAACATTTTCGTGAATTGGAATAAAATGAACATTAACTAAAATAAAATATAAAACCTTTTTATTTCAGCTAGATGCCAAGGCAACAGTTCTTATTTTAATTTAATTTGTTGTTGTACTAAAATAACTAAAGTTGAAATATAATGACTGAAATGTATACATACAGTTGGGGTCGAAATTGTACACACACTTTGCGGTATCTGCAAAATGATGATTATTTAACCGAAATACGAGGGATCATACAAAATGCGTTATTTTTTTATTTAGTATTTTTATAAAACTATTATTTTCTCTTGTGGACTATATGTAGGCTAAACATCTTTTATGTGAAATATCTTATTCAGGTCAGTACTAAATATGCATTTTGTATGATCCCTCTAATCTTGGTAAAATAATTAGGCTAACATTTTGCAGATACTAAAATTTTGACTTCCGAGAGACCACCTACCATATATGTTGAATGTATTTAAAGTATTCATAAAAAATAAATAGTATCTGAAATAGCACTGTATTGATACATTTTTGCAGTCAATATCAATATTCACAATGCATAATACTTTTTCTGTAACTTTTAACATTGCTTGAGGCATACATTAGATGCAAATGCGTTTTTTTTTTTCAAATTGCTCCGTGAAGTTCAGTGCTGTGCAAAATCAGTATTACAAACTTTCAGACTAAAGCTGTGTGTCTGTTATCACCGTCTCAGCAGTTTGTTGTCGACCAATTCATTGCACACACAGTGAAACCAAACCTCTTCCCCCTATATTACCAATATAGTGCATCTTAACTTATTTTATGTATTTGTTTGCCATTTAATTGAACTGAGCAGTAAGCGATGCTTAAATGCTTAAAATATTTCATATCTGAGTGAGAGAGGGTAGGATATATAAAACTTTTAATGATCTATAAGATTTTTTAAAAATGATTTTAATGCTCTGTAAGATATAAGAAAATTACTGTTATATTTTTTACTGTTATTTAATACATCGCTGTGGAAACACCATTCAAGAAATCCAAAATTTGTTTGCAATTTGTTTTGCAATTTCAGAATCTTGGCATCATGTTGACAAAGTTTGGTGTGAATTGCTTGATTCTCTTAGGAGGAGTATGCATTAATTCACAGCCTGATTTGTCCAAAAATCCACATTCAGACCAAAATAGCCGACTTCCTGTTGGTCGTAGCTAATGACTGTAAATTAGAGAGTTGTCTGGCTTGATGAGAACAATATATGTCCCGAGTTTGGTGTCTGTAGGAAAAACTACCCCCCCCACACACACACTTTTGTCAAAAGGTGGCGCTATAGAGCGCCTGCTCCACACCCATTTATGAGCTTTTGCCAGTGTCTGTCTATCATTAATACTGATGTGTGTGGAGTTTCATGACATTCTAAACATGTTAAGTGCCTTAAAAACACCTGAAAACAATATTCAAGTTTGACCCGTTGCCATGGCAACAGTATTTAAGATATCAAGAATCCCTTTGCAGTTTTACATCTGCCGTGTTTTGACATTATTCTGATGAAGTTTAAGAAAACAGAGTAAAAATAAGAGGCTAATTTCAAAGCATTTAGAAAATGACACACTTCCTGCTGCCAGTTGGTGGCGCTATAACTTTGACTCCTAATCGTCACAGTAGTCATCTATGTAATCGGCCTCATACAACGAACAAACCGCTTAAGTTTGACAAAGTGTGCAAAAGTTATTAGACACTTCCTGTTTCTCATTTCTCGCCATAATTTCGTCACCTTGCCAAACTGTTTGAGATATCAAAAATCCCTTTGCAATTTAGCATCCCCAAAGGGTGTGCAAAGTTTCAAGAGTTTGAGCATGTTTGGGCCCTCAAAAATGAGATTCATTTTGGAGAAGAAGAAGAAACAGAGCAATTCCAAGAGGGTCCTCGCAGCATTGGTGCTCGGGCCCTAATAATCCTAAAGAAAATAATAGGGCCCTTCTCCCCCTAGGGGCTTGGGCCCTAATTAGTTAGTTTGCCTGTGAATATCATTGTTGGGTTCTTTTCTTAGAGACCCATCAACATTTAACATTTGACTAATCAAGTTGAAAAGTGTCAAAACGATTATTGGTGTATCTTTGCTCTGTACAGTGAAATCCTTTAGATTTGTGACTGACTGATACAGATTTTTTAATCCATGAGCTCGGCGTGCCATATGCAATATTATGTAGACTATATGATACAATCTAATAATAGTAAATGTACTCAAAATTACTGAAATTGAGCAAATATATATTTTACACAGTGTTCAATCATAATTGACTCGGGGTTATTATAGTTAACTAAAATAGAAAAAGAAAAACATTTTCGTGAATTGGAATAAAATGAACATTAACTAAAATAAAATATAAAACCTTTTTATTTCAGCTAGATGCCAAGGCAACAGTTCTTATTTTAATTTAATTTGTTGTTGTACTAAAATAACTAAAGTTGAAATATAATGACTGAAATGTATACATACAGTTGGGGTCGAAATTGTACACACACTTTGCGGTATCTGCAAAATGATGATTATTTAACCGAAATACGAGGGATCATACAAAATGCGTTATTTTTTTATTTAGTATTTTTATAAAACTATTATTTTCTCTTGTGGACTATATGTAGGCTAAACATCTTTTATGTGAAATATCTTATTCAGGTCAGTACTAAATATGCATTTTGTATGATCCCTCTAATCTTGGTAAAATAATTAGGCTAACATTTTGCAGATACTAAAATTTTGACTTCCGAGAGACCACCTACCATATATGTTGAATGTATTTAAAGTATTCATAAAAAATAAATAGTATCTGAAATAGCACTGTATTGATACATTTTTGCAGTCAATATCAATATTCACAATGCATAATACTTTTTCTGTAACTTTTAACATTGCTTGAGGCATACATTAGATGCAAATGCGTTTTTTTTTTTCAAATTGCTCCGTGAAGTTCAGTGCTGTGCAAAATCAGTATTACAAACTTTCAGACTAAAGCTGTGTGTCTGTTATCACCGTCTCAGCAGTTTGTTGTTGACCATGCATGACCAATTCATTGCACACACAGTGAAACCAAACCTCTTCCCCATACTGAAGATGTGCGTATCTTAAGAAAAATCTAATAAATATCATGCAGTTGCTATGGTCTTGCTATGCTCTGTTTCTTCTGTAGTCTTCTGTCATATGTAAGAGCTGCAGTGACATCAATGAGAAAAACACAAAAGCTCCCTAAGGGGAAGTGCAGCTGTTTCATTTGAGCAGATTGAAGCGAACTGGCCCTAATCCTCAAGTGATCGCAGACAGAAACCAAGGGACAAATGTCCAGCAGGGGTCAAGTGTGACGCAGCATCATCTTCTCTTGTGCGTAATCGTGTGCGATCTAATCTGTCTTGGGAAAGAGGTTATGCATTGTGTAGGTGACTTAGTATTTTATTCTGTTAGATCATGTAAATTGTATTATTTCATGTTGCCAAAGCATCAATTTAAACATTCAGGATCGCTTTCTTTGTATTTAAAACAGTCGTAACAGTAAATAATGTGTAATTACAAGCAGCTAACACTAAACCCCTAAACCTAAAGTAAATACATGTTGTTAATTCATTCTATTTATGTAATTACGTTATGTTTTAGAACTTTATATATATACTTCTTTGTGTAATTACACTGTATCAAGGACGCCTTAAAATAAATGGGCCAAACACTCTTTCTTTTCTTTTTTTTTTTTACGGCGAAATTTCTCTGGCAAACTTGAGCCTGTTGCGAAATCTTTTGTTCTCACATGAAATTCCTGATCGTGTGGATTCCTGTTGAAATGAATGGATTTCACCAAATGTGATCGCGCCTTTAGTCTTAGTGTCACTTTACGGCTGAATCTCATGATAAATGACAAGAACATGTCTTGGACATATTTCATCCCAAAATCAAATACTTGATCAAATTCTTATTACAGTAATATATATATACTGTATATATATCTATAATTTATAGTTCAGTGAGTGAAAAGCAACTTTAGTGAATGTGTCAAGTGAATCACTCAGTCACTCATGGTTTGCGTTATGTAACAAAAACATTCATTGTTATTGTAATAAGTAATAGAAATATTTTTCATCAATTTGAATTCAAAATGTAGTTATTTGGGTTTATTGTTCACAATATATTTTTGTTGTGTTTTCAGTGCTTCCATGCAGGGTTATTATTATTAACAGAAACTCAAACTAAAACCATACAAACCCTAACACACACACACACTTCTTTCATACAAAGATGGGTTCAAGTTTACTACAAGTGGTAACTAAATACATTTTTTTAATACAGAGATAGTATGTTAAAAGCACATTTTAGTTCATATACATGGTGTCTCAAAGTAGCACAGTTGAGTACACTTAGATGCTCTTAAGATTATCTTAAGAAGTACTAAAGACTAATTCTTTCATATATTAAGTACAAAATTAGTGCTCGAAATTAGAGCACTTTAAGTACTTTTTTTTTCACCTGGGGCATTATATTTTTAAATTGGGCTATAATGGTGCACACATTTCACAGTTCAGTATGCACCTCAGTGTTCAGGTCACGGTTTGGTTTCGAAGCAGCAGGGTGAGCAAAGCATCTGTCTTAAGCTGCCTGTCTGCGAGACAGTGGAACACAGACAAGCTTAGTATACTTTGAGTGATTTACAGGAATAACAATCATGTGCAAAAACGAGTCCTGTGTGCTTCATTCCCTTTAGGCATTGCAGAATTTAATTACTCATCCTTATGTTGTAATCTCCTCAACAGTCCGAGCCGAGCTTTGGGTTGCTGTTTGACATCGATGGGGTCTTGGTGCGAGGAAAGACCCCCATCCCAGCAGCAAAGAGAGCTTTCCAGAAGCTGGTGGACGCGAAGGGACAGTTCGTGGTTCCGGTTGTCTTTGTCACCAATGCTGGCAACTGTTTACGACAGAAGAAGGCCGATCAGCTGTCTCACATACTGGGTGTTCCTGTGAGTTCTGCTCGCTCATATTCATGATGACAATTCTGACATGCAGCCTGCTTGATGCATGCATTGCAGCTTTTTATATGCAATTCATTCAGCTTGATTCTCAGTTCACTGAAGGCACAGGGCTCGAATCATGACAAATCAAAGTAACCTTGATATTTTGAGATGTACTGTACAAAGTTCACTTACCTTTCCACATTTACACTTCAGAAACATGGCCTGTTCGGTCATACAGAGGTATTTGGGTTAGAGCTGAATATCATTGCTGCACACCAGCAGAACGAAGAATAGCAGCACAACTGAAAGGTTTGAGCGGCGCCCTCTACTGTACAGACGTGAATTTACATTTCCTTCAGCCTGAGGCGCATTCACTTCACTTCTGGTGTGAAAGGGCTTTTACATTTGCCAAAATTGTAGTATAATTGTATTGATATTAAATTGTAATTATATTAAAAACAAACAGATGCCCAGATGAGAAAAAGAAGCACAAATGTAACACAACACATTACTTTCCATAAAACGTAACTACGTAACGCAATTAGTTACTTTTAGGGCTGGGTAAAAAATATCGATATCTCGATAATAATCGATTCTCATTTTTACGGAACGATATCGATTCTTAAATCCCAAGAATCAATTATTCTAGCCTGTTTTCATTTAATGGACGGAACGTTGAAGGGCACTTCCCACTCAATATATATCGCAATAAGCATTGTGCTTTGGTACTTTTAATATGAAACAAAGCCTCAGATTTCAATTTATGTCCATTGTATTGCAGTATTCAAACAATAAATGCTGTTTTGGCACCGTTTAATGTGGAGTGACAGATCGCAGTGGTGCCTCAGTTCAACAGACGCAGCAGCACGAGGCGCACGTGAACAGATCATCTCCTCCACATTAATACGTTTCAGCACAAAATAAACATGACTAAACATCCGAAGGCAAGTTAAAAGAAAGAGTACAACTTTACTATCTGTATCCCGTCTCAAATAATCACTCAATCAGTGTTTCAGTCGCGCAAAGACGTCATAACGGCTTGTAAACAATGGCACGTCACATTTACCTCAGAAAAAACAAATTCGGTGACCATAAACTCATTAGTCAGCTAGAAAATTAAACTGTAGAGGGGCATTTTGCTAAATATATGCACCGACATATTCATCATAATCTAATAATGTGCTAATTAGCAAGTTTCACGATGAATGCGGCTGAAGTAAACAGTCTCTCTGAGAGCGTCTCGGAAGAGAGGGGCGGAGCCAGCAGAGCTCATTAACATTTAAAGGAAAATGCTACAAAAACGGCTTGATCTGAAAAGAGCTGTTTTTGACAGGGTAAAAAAGGTGTTGTTTACACTACCATTGAGACATTTTAACCAAACCAGACTTTTCATTAAGACCCTAAAGAATCATATCAACTTGTGGAAAATGGGCATCCTATGACCCCTTTAACAGATATTCACATAGAAAACAGTTATTTTAAATTGTAATAATGTTTCACAATATTGCTGTTTTTACTGTATTTTTGATCAAATAAATGCAGCCCTGGTGAGCAGAAGAGACTTGATTCAAAAACATTCAAAAATCATACCAGCCCCAAACTATTGAATGGTGGTGTATCTAGACGTACAGTTCACACTGTGGAATATTGGCAAAACATTGTAAATATTGGATTGCATGAAATTAATAACGGAGTAATTATTAATTAAATTAATTTAAATTCCTTAATCAATGCTTTTTTGTGTACTTGAGATAATTAGGGTTGTTGTAAGTTTGTGCTTTATACTCTAATAATACCTTTTTATTCTGTAACCAGTTCTGGCACTTGCGTAGGTTTATGCAGTATGTGCATGTGTTATTCACCGTCAGGTTAGAACAGGTCAAACATAAATGCAATGTGAAGAGATTGGCCAGTGGCAATGATATGTATAGGATAAAACACAAGCCCCCTTGTTGTAAACTGGACAAATAGAAGATTATGCTGAATTTGCAGATTTCCCTGTCCTGTTTTTCGTGCATGTGACTGCATATTTGAAGATTTAAAAATGGTTTGTACTTGTATATATAGTCTCATAGTTTTTCTAAATGTGAGGGAATCGGCTGCTGGATAGTTTATGAGATCGGTCAGATGACATATATTGGCAGATATGAAAGAAACCGGATACTTTCCTTGTTGTTTCAGTCTTCGCCTGTGGTGAACCTCCCCAGAGTTGAAGGTAAGATATTTCTGGAGATAACTGGACAGTTGTGGGATGTGCTGCATAACATGGCATGGCTGTACTGTAACCATATACTCAGCTTTACCATGAAATCAAGATCTTTTTTTTTTGTTTTAATTCATGTGTTCTCGTAGTCTTTACACAAAAACGTGTCCCTGGCAATGACACTAACATGAGATCACAGCGGTTAACGAATGAGCCAATGATTGAGTCAACCCTGTCAGTCCCCACTGGACAAAATCTTTATTTTTCTTTACTCAGATACAGGCTACACCACTGTAGTAAAGAAAAGACAACTGCAATTTCCAAACAATGTCGACTTTAATTGATTCTTCACTGACTATTCTGCGCTCTAGCTGTGCAGATGAGAATCTATTTTCTGTGAATATTTTTCGTGAAACTGCTCTTGAATGATTGACTGATCTGTCTGATCCAGCTCAATACGTCCAAATGTACATGTACACCAGAAAGCTTGTTATTATCCTAAACTACAATAAAAAGTTTGGGGTCTGTAATACTTTTTGAAATAAATAAATTATTTTATTCAGCAAGGACGCATTGAATTGATCAAAAGTGACAGTAAAGACATTCATAATGTTACAAAAGATTTCTATTTCAAATAAATGCTGTTCTTTTGAACTTTAACATCAAAGAATCCTGATGTTAAAGTTGCGGCACAACTGTTTTCAGCATTGATAATAATCAGAAATGTGTCTTGAGCAGCAGATCAGCATATTATACTGATTTCTGAAGATCATGTGACACTGAAGACTGGAGGAATGATGCTGAAAATACAGCTGCGCATCACAGAAATACATTACAGTTTAACACATAATCACAGAGAAAACAGCTATTTTAAATTGTAATAATATTTCACAATATTACTGATTTTACACTTTTTTTTTTTTTTTACAAATTAAAAAAATCTTACCGACCCCAAACTTTGAACGGTAGTCTATATGTACTTGATATGTATTAAGCTGTATTATAAAATAAAAATCAAACAATAATGCAATCAAATAAATAATAGAGTGAAAGACAGACAATGGCTTTAATTAGCCTCTTTTCTCCTGTTCTAGCTGTAGTTCTGTTTGGGGAGCCCATTCGATGGGAAACGAACTTACAGCTCATCATTGATGTCCTTCTCACCAACGGCAATCTGAGCAACGCCTATGAAACCACTCTCTCCGCTCATCTGCCGCTCTTGGCCTGTAACATGGATCTCATGTGGATGGCAGAGGCACATTCTGCGAGGTGATCAGCTCGCTCTAAATGCTGATTTATTAGGGAGACTGGGGCTAGTTGTCAGACTTTTTACCCCAGTGAGTATTTCTAAGCAGAGGGTTAAGTCAGTTCCTGAATAGATATACAATGTTTAAAGTCTCGACTACAACAAACCTGTTTGGCACGTATATACATTTTGTGACACTATGCTCCAATAGAAGTTTTATTGTGTTGGCTTGTTGCATCATATCCATAAAGGACTAACAATCTCTTATACACTCTTAAAAAAGAAAGCTTCTTTATTGGCTCTGATGGATCCATGAAGAACATTTAACATCCATGGAACCTTTATTATATGATGGATCTCGTATAAATACACATACTGGTAAATGCATTCTGCTCATATGTGACCCTGGAGCACAAAACCAGTCATAAGGGTCAATTTTTCGAAATTGAGATGTATGCATCATCCTGATAAATAAGCTAATAAGCTCTCCATTGATGTATGGTTTGTTAGGATAGGACAATATTTGGCCGAGATACAACTATTTGAAATCTGAGGGTGTGAGGGTGCAAAAAAAAATCAAAATATTGAGAAAATCATCTTTAAAGTTGTCCAAATGAAGTTCTTAGCAATGCATATTACTAATAAAAAATTAAGTTTTGATATATTTACGGTAGGAAATTTACAAAATATCTTCATGAAACATGATCTTTACTTCATATCCTAATGATTTTTGGCATAAAAGAAAAATCTATCATTTTGACCCATACCATGTATATACAATGCACTGGTTTTGTGCTCCAGGGTCACATATATACATATAGACAATGTAGGTATGATGCATTGAAGTGTAGCAGTAAATTGAGCAAAGCCACCTCCAGTGATCTGAGACTGGCCAATTAATGAATGAAAAATCTCCCATCAACAGATTCGGTCACGGCACTTTCATGGTGTGTTTGGAGAACATCTATAAGAAGATCACTGGCAAAGATCTGAAGTACGAGGCCCTCATGGGGAAGCCCAGTGAACTGACCTACCATTTTGCTGAGTTCCTCATTCGAGAACAAGCTGCTGAGAGAGGCTGGAGGGCCCCGATCAGATCCCTGTATGCTATCGGGTGAGACACATGCACAGTGTAACGGGCCAGTGTGGATGTGAGAGGATTTCAAACATGAGCTTGCAGACAAAACACAAAATCTACCCCGTGCCTACACTGCTTGTTTAAAAAAAGTGTTGTTTTATGCTTAGGATATTATTTATCATATCCAGTTTGCAGAGCAATATACAGTGGGTACGGAAAGTATTCAGACCCCCTTAAA